GGCCACGTAGGTCACCTGGAAGCGGCCCATGCCGCCCAGGCGGGCCAGCAGCTCTGCGAAGGTCATGGCCGGGCCGGGCGGAGGGATGGGACGAGGCGCGGGACGGGCTGTTGGACAAGGGATGGGCTGCAGGATGAAGGATGGATTGAAGGTCGAGGGGTGGATTGAAGGACGAGGGATGGATTGAAGGACGAAGGATGGACTGAAGGACGAGGGATGGGCTGAAGAATGAAGGGTGGGCTGAAGGATGAGGGATGGGCTGAAGGATGGGACGAGGGATGAGCTGAAGGACGAAGGATGGACTCAAGGACAAGGGATGGACTCAAAGATGAGGGAAGGACTGAAGGACGAGGGATAGACTGAAGGACAAGGGATGGGCTGAAGAACGGTCAAGGGAAGGGCTGAGGGATGGACCAAAGGATGAAGAATGGCTTGAAGGATGGGCTGAGGAACTGCTGAGGGAGGGGACAAGGGATGGACTGAAGGACGAGGGATGGGTTGAAAGACAGATGAGGGGTGGAGCAAGGAATGGTCAAGGGAAGGGCTGAGGGATGGACTGAAGGACAAGGGATGGACTGAAGGATGAGGGATGGGCTGAAGGATGAGGGATGGGCTGAAGGACAAGGGATGAGCTGAAGGACGAAGGATGGACAGAGGACGAGGGATGGGCTGAAGGACGAGGGATGGGCTGAAAGATGGGACGAGGGATGGACTGAAGGACAAGGGATGGACTGAAGGACAAGGGGTGGGCTGAAAGATGGGACGAGGAATGGACTGAAGGATGAAGGATGGGCTGAAGGACAGGCTGAAGGACGGGCCGAGGAACGGTCGAGGGATGGGACCAAAGGACAAGGGAGGGACTGAAGGATGGGACGAGGCATCAGCCAAGGGAAAGGACGAGGGGTGGGCTGAAGGATGAGGGCTGGCTTGAAGGACAGGCCAAGGAGGGGCCAAGGAAGAGCTGAGGGACGGGCAGAGGGATGAGCCAAGGAACGGCCGAGGGAAGAGACAAGGGATGGGCTGAAGGACGGGCCGAGGGATGGGAAGAGGAATGGCTTGAAGGACAGGCTGAGGGAGGGGACGAGGGATGGACCGAAGGGCGAGGGATGGACCGAAGGATGGGCCAAGGGATGGCCAAGGAACAGGCCAAGGGACATGGTCCATGGGGGTCCATCCATCAGTCCGTCGGTCTGCCAACCTCTCGCTCTATCGCTCTACCTCGCTCTCTCCTTCTCCCTCTATCAATCTCTCCATCGACCCCTGCTTCTAGTTTTCCACCATCAACACCTGCTCTCCTACTTCCTCCTCTCGCCCTCCACCCCGTTGGCCTGGCTGGTGACCCATCTCTCTCCTGTCCTACCCATCCATCGATCGTTTATCTCTCTGCCAGCTCCTCTGCCTCTTCCTCTCCTTCTCGCTTTACCTGCTGATCTCTACCAATTGACCTATCAATCAAGCTATCAAACGATTGATCTCTCACGCGCTGTCTTCCCCTCCCCCCCAGTCAATCCATCCATCCATCCATCAGTTCACTGATCAATTCATCTATTCATCTGAAGTCTCTCTCTTGATCTGCCTCTGAGTCTATAGAGCTCTATCGACCTATAGATCCATCTCTTATTGACCTACAGATTGATCTGTTATTGATCTATTGATCTATAATCTATCAATCTATTGACCTTTCTCTCTAGTGATTGATCTATCGGTCTATAACCTAGCTGTTGATCTAGCTGTTGGTCCCTATAGCTGCCTATTGATCAACTTATTGGACTATAATCCACCTATTGCTCAAACTACACCTCTATTGATCAATCTATTGGTCTATATAACTCCATTGATTAATCTATTGACTTTCAGTCTGTCTCTCGATCAATTTATGGGTCTTTATATCTCTATTGATCTATACTATGTCTATCGAGCAATTTATTGAACTTTGTTCAGGGATTTATTGCACTATATCTCCCTCTGTTGATCGATCCATCAGTCTCTATAGCTCCATTGATCAACCTATTGATCCTTAATCTATCTCTTGATCCATCTCTTGATCTATATCCCTCCCTTGATTGAGGTATTGATCTCTATCAATCAGTCTATATCGATCTGTAGCTCCGTGTTGGTCTGTCCACCCCCCTCCCGTCCCAGGCTCCACCCCATCGGCTACCGACCTTGGCAACCACCGAAGCTCACGAAACCCCTCG